AAAATTGACTAGGACAATCAACAATCACGGTGCTACACTCTAGCTCCTGGGACTTAAAATCTTTTTTTTCTTTATTAAAATTTTTTCCCTTCATTAAGTTTATTGGTACATTTTAGTTGTATAATATGACATTCATCATTGGGAACTTGTACCTTTACATGATGTATCTTGGTTCTTATTTTTTCTCCATTCCTCTGCCCTCCCTCCAACCTTTCCACCCTTCCCTATTTATAGACTTTGTTTCCATTTTTAAATTTTCTCATATTTTTTCCTTTCCCTTCTTTCCTTTCCCCTATTCCTCCCACTTCACCTACTCCTTTAGACCTTTTCTTCCTATTTCACATTATCTATTATATATTTTGATCCTTATTTACACTTTGAGTTCCTCACACTACAGAAATTATTCGGTATTTACACACGTGTGTCTTATTTCACTTAAGAGTATGGCCTTGGGCCAGGGATTTAGCTCAGTGGTTCCACCACCTGCCTTGCAAGCAGAAGGACCCGAGTTCAATCCCTGGTACTCCCCCCACCCCCATAAAAGAGTATAAAAAAAAAGAGTGTGGCCTCAATGTGCATCCACTTAGCTATAAATGACTCTAGTTTCTCATTCTTTATGGCTGAGTAGTACTCCATTTTATAAAAAACCCACATCTTCTTTATCCAGTCTCCAGTCGATGGGCAACTGGGCTGTTTCCAAGTTTTAGCTATCACAAACTGTGCTGCTATGAACATGGGTGCACATATATCACTGTGGTATGATTCTTTTAATTCTTTTGGGAAGATCCCCAGCAGTGGAATAGCGGGGTCAAATGGGACTTCCAGTCCTAGTTCTTTGAGGTATCTCCATACCGATTTCCACAGTGGATGCACCAGTCTGCACTCCCACCAACAATGGAGAAGGGTTCCTTTCTCCCCACACCCCCGCCAGCATTTGTTATTGGTTGATTTCTTGATAGCAGCCATTCTTTCTGGAGTGAGATGGAATCTCAGTGTTGTTTTCATCTGCATCTCTCGAATGACCAGTGATGTTGAACATTTTTTTCATGTGTTTATTTGCTGCTTTTACTTCTTTGTCTGAGAAATGTCTGTTCATTTCAGATGCCCATTTTTGGATTGGGTCTTTAAATTTGGGGGGGGCATCTGATTCTTTTAAGTTCTTTATATATTCTAGATAGTAGTCCCTCATTTGAGGAACAGCTAGTAAAATTTTTTTCCCACATTGTAGGTTGCCTCTTAGCTCTGTTGGTGGTTTCTCTTGCAGTGCAGAAGGTTTTTAATAGGATGAGATCCCAGTTGTTGATTCTCTGTGCTAGTTCCCATGCTACTGAGGTTTTGTTCATAAAGTCTTTTCCTATGTCAATGTCTTTGGGAGTTCTACCTAACCTATCTTCCATCAAGTTTAGTGTTTCTGTTTTAATATTTAGATCTTTGATCCACTTTGATTTTAATTTAATGTGAGATATGGCGAGAGATATGGGTCTAGTTTTAATCTGTGGCAAGCTGAAATCCAGTTTTTCCAGCACCATTTATTAAAGAGGCTATCTTTCCTCCAATGAGGGTATTTGGCTCCTTTGTTGCACATGAGGTGGCTGAGTATGTCTGGGGTTGTGTCTGCATCTTCTAATCTATTCCACCCATCCTTGGGTCTGTTTCTTTGCCAGTACCATGCTGTTTTTATTACAGTATAGTTTCATGTTGAGGATAGTGAATACCCCCTGTCATGCCTTTGTTGTCTAGAATTGCTTTTGCTATTGTAGGTCTCTTCTGGTTCCAAATGAATTTTTGGATTGTTTTTTCCAGTTCTGTGGAATATACTGTTGGGATTTCAATCAGCATTGCATTGAATCTATACAGCAGTTTTGGAAGTATGGCCATTTTTACTATATTGGTTCTTCCTACCCGGGAGCAAGGGATGTCTTTTCATTTTCTGATATCTTCAATTTCTTTTTTTAGGGCACTGTAGTTTTTAAAATAGAGGTCTTTTACTTCCTTTGTTAGATTGATTCCTAGATATTTCATTTTGGGGGGATGCTATTGTGAAAGGAATTGTTTCCCCAATTTATCTCTCAGTGAGTCTGTTATTTGTGTACAAGAAGGCTATTGTGTTTTGAGTGTTGACCTTGTATCCAGCTACTCTACTGAATCTATCAATTAAGTCCTGGGACTTGAATCTTGAATGGAATGACCTAGACAGTGACAGTCAGGAAAGCACTTATTGGTCCCAGTGCTGTGTCCTCAGACTCTCAGGGACTTCTTGACACCGGAACCTGTGAGCCGTCCTCCTTCCTGTTCTCCAATAAGATTCTCCAGCTTTCCATTATCTTCCTAAAACATTAATTTTCTACTCAGATTACCCAGAGGCATTCTATTTCTGTTGTGTATGATTGAGGAACTCTTAACTAATCCAGACTTGGATGGCAGGAGGTTGATAGATCAGGGCAAGTCTGTTGCTTTATGACTTGTAAAGTAGCTCAGAGCATAAATCTACTTATGGTATAGTTATAGCATCATCCTCACATACAAAAATCAAAATTCATACCATGGAAATCTGATGAGCTCAACTTTTGCCTGAGAAGGCAAAGGTGGCTGGGTAGAGGGAAGGTTAATATAAACATGAGCTGGGTGTGGTGGTTAGTGATGTAGTACCAGCCACCTGGGAGGCCGAGGCAGAAGGATTTCTTGAGCCAAGTTCAAGACTAGCCTAGGCAACACAGGTCTCAAAACAAAATAATAAATCAAATATAAACATTACCTTGGGAACAGGTTACCAATTCCTAGCACTGTACTGCGTTCATTCCTCTGTTGACAATAAATGTGATGGGTGTATTCAATGGTAACCATGGTTTTGTCTCATTTATTTAGAGAAATAAAAATATTCATTTATATTAACAGGAAGATTTTTAGGAAAACAGGCAAATTGCAATGCCATTCCTTTGTCACCATTTAAAAGGACTGAATTAAGATTTAATGTTAGTATAAAAATAATAGCAGAGACAAATGTATCTGCGTAATTAATCCAAACTGTTGGCCAAGTCCTGTAAGATATGTTTCAACTCAACCGGTTGGCATTTCCTGTTTGCTGCACATGGAGGTGGCTGGGTGTGTGTGTGAGAAAGGGCAGGCTATTCACTCATTGGTGCCAGGGCCACATGTTCTCTGTTGGGCCTTGTCCTGTGGGGCAGCCTGGTCCCCAGGCACAAGAGATGTTTCACAGGCCAGTGGAGCTCAGGGTCCTGGGTTCAAGTCTTCAGGTCACAACAGTGATGAATTTAGCAGCCTTAGGCAACTTTCTCTGGTTTCACTGGTCTCTCTCCCACCTGACTTGAGGGCAATGGAGCATGGATAGAAACTGGGAAGATTTGCTGGGTCTAGTGGTGCATGCCTGTAATCACAGCACTTGGGAGGCTGAGGCAGGAGGATCACCATGAGTTCAAGGCCAGCCTGGGCTATATAGTGAGTTCGAGGCCAGCCTGAACTGCGTAGCGAGACCTTGTTTCAAAAAACCAAAGGGTTTAAAAAAAAAAGAAAAAAGAAAGAAAGAAAGAAAGAAAGAAAAGAAAAAAAGTATAGACATTTAATGAATGCCACTCTAGATTTCTGGCTCCCATTGGAGGCCTATTGTCCAACTGCATCCTGGAAAACTTACTCTTCTCACGACCATGTTTCTGCCGTCATTAGAGCCTCCCCTTCCCCCAAGCAAAATGTGTGTTATCTATGATCTTGGTTTCCAGAGTCCTGACTGAACATGTGACTTAGAGAGAAGTACTTTTAGACATGGAATGGAGGAGCTTCCCTATGACATAGGAGGACAACCTGGTGATCTGGGGCCACGGAGGAGACTTCCTGTACAGTCCCGTCAGAGTCAGGGAACCTCAACAAGTCTAACTGACCTCCTCCTTTTGTGGTAGGTTGTTTGTTTTATTTTGAGACAAGGTCTTGCTACAGAGTCCAGGCTGTCATTGAACAGCTACGTAGCTCAAGCTGGCCTCAGACTCACAATGATCCTCCTGCCTCAGCCTCCCAAGTGCTGGGACTTGTGGTAGTTTTATCAGCCTCTCCACCTCCTTCTATCCAGTCCCTGGGCCTTTTGTATTAAAGAATCCAGGGCTTCTGCCTCAGAAAAATGTCGACTAGGAGTCCTCCATCCATGATCATCATCTGCCCCAAGAAAGAAAATGAGACAGACTCCCTTACAGGTCGCAAAGTTTAAATCACACACTGCCTTGCGCAGGGCAGTGCTGCAGTTATGTAACAAACAGCATCTTGTGTGCTCTACCTGCACAGTCTCCCAATCTGACCTGAGCCCTGGAGCCCAATTTCTTGATCGTTAGCCACAGCGCCACTCCTGGCCAACTCCAAGAACTCCGTCAGAGATCCCAGGGTTATCTACGTGGTGGCCTTGTACTTTGTACTCAGCCAGATTCACCAAATGCATTGAATTATTCCTGGGATTCCTACAGGCCTCTGCTTTCACTGGACCAAAGCTAACCTTCCTAAAAGGAAGAAAATATTTCCCTCAAATATGGAATTAGAGCTTTCCAGCAGGTGAAGACTTGCTTGTTTCTTTTTCAGGTTTGGTTTACCTGGACACAAATAGCCCTACAGCAATGAAACTGGTGCATTTAACAGTGCAGAATGGCCCTGGTGCCCCAGGGTGAGACAGCCTGGAGATCTGGCTGCAATCAGTTCTTGTGGCAGAAGCCAGCCTGGTTGTTATCAACGACCTGGTTTAAGAATAGGAATCTTGAAGGGCTGGGGATTTAGCTCAGTGGTTCTGCCGCCTGCCTCACAAGCACAAGGACCCAAGTTCGATCCCTGGTACCAAAAAAAAAAGAAAAAGAATAGGAATCTTGGGCTGGGAATTTAGCTCAGTGGTGTCACCGCCTGTCTCACAAGTACAAGGTTCCAAGTTCGATCCCTGGTACACCCCCCCGCCCCGCCCAAAAAAAGAGAATAGGAATCTCAAAAGAATAGGAATCTTGAACCATCATGTCTACCTTAAAGGTTTGGAAGCATCAGCTCCATGTATCCAACCTCCTGCAGTCATGTACCTGGACCACGAAGGCCTGGAGTAGCTGAAATAGAATCACACAAAACCCTCTCAGTGTTTTGATTTTATCATCTCTTACAAAGTAGGCAATGAGATGGCCAAGTGAGTTCTCTATTTCAAAGCAGCAGAGCATGGAGGAAATATCTCTATTCTTGGAAATCCTTCTATGGCCACAACTAACAAAAGCAATAGAATGCCTAGACTAAGCATCCAGCATGGTCACATCAGCCAGGAATTAGTCAGGGAGCCCTGAGCACCATGAAGCTCTGAGGGCTGGTAGCTATTTTGTGCAAGAAGGCTCTGTTGCAAAGACTTTGTCTTTCTCTAAGAGTATGCTGGTTCTCCCTCACATCACACCTCAAAAGGCAATCCTGCTAAGTTCAAGCATTAACTCTAAGAAGATAAAAATTTTTTTGGCTTTAAAAATTTTTTTATTTTTATTATTTCATGTTTGCAGTACATAAGGATTATATTCATTCTGAGGGGTTGGTGCATGTACTAAGGCATTTTAAGAAGATAAAATCTTAAAACCCTAGAAGAAAATGTGGTGAGTGCCTATCTTGTCTCTCAGATAAGAAAAAACCTTGTAATCATTAAGTCAGTAGATGCACTGTCAGAATAAATTCAGCTGCATAAAAGAACTCCCTTCACCACAACAAGGTATTATAATGAAAATCAATGCCAATAATTAAGATGAGAAAAGGTTAATGTACTTTAAAATGTTTATGGTGCATTTAAGTAACTAGGTAAAAGTCCTGAACAGACAGTTCAGAATAGATGATATATAAATAGATAAAAATATTAAAAAGTATTATTTTAAAAAAAAATTTTAAGAATGATTTTACTAGTGTTATTTATCAAGGATGTTCACATTGACTTAAACAGGTAATATCCAATGCCATAAGAACACAGAGAGGAATGGGGTTTTGATCAATTTGTTTTGGTGTTCATTTGTTTTGTTTTGAGACAGGATGTCACAGGGTAACCCAGGCTGGCCTCAAACTCTCAGTGATCCTCCTGCCTCAGCCTCCCCAGTGCTGGGATTACAGCCACATGCCACCAAACTCGGCTTAACCAAATTTTTTGTAAAATAATTTGAAGTAATGTATCAAGAGTCTTAAGAGCACTGCTCCCAGCACAGAGGATGTGAGCCACGTGGGCACCAGCAACCCCCCCCC